TAAGCTTTTAAATATTATCTCACTAAGACATTTTATTGGGAGATATGGAGTGAAATGTGATATTTATATGCATTTTATGTCAGTCTGTTATACTGTTATAAAGATCTCACTGGTTTACATTAAAAGCTGAATTTCATCTTACTTTTTGGCCATATCAGCAACTGCACCAAATTACATATTTTTGCTCAATTTGGGACTCAGAATAAAATGTAGGTGTTTTTTTCCTCCATATTCTCACTATATCATGCTCTATGAGGCATAAAAGCTTGATGTATCAAATATGATATTCAACAAAAACCTTGCTTAGATTTTTTTAACGAGTTTGTCTAAAAGTTCAAAAAACTGTTCTTTTCAATTCCATTAGATTTTTTCTGACTATTATTCATATGTCAGGCTTTACAGGGTTAAGATACAGCCCTGAAAAAAATCACATTTCAAAATACTGAACATGCACACATTGTTTTAAATGAAACTCCCACATATTTTGCACATGGCAAAGGCATGGTATCCGATTGTTGGAGAAATGTACATTCTATCACTTCTGTTTGTAATTTAGCCTTATTTTTATGAGATTTGACAATATACAGTATGACCTCTCGTTTCCAGAGCTCAGACACCCCTCTACCAGCCTATCCTCTTTCACTCGTTCTTCTGAGAGCCGATAGCATGAAAAAACACTCTCAGCATGGCACATTCTTTCAGTTTTCAACACGGACCCTTTCATAATATCTTCTTTTCAGTTCCTCGCATGGATGGCAAATGCAAGAAATAGGAAAACACCCAGAAAAGGCTACAGAAGGGCTTTACTGTTACATGCAAAACTTTACAGTACCACATCAAATATCAAATAAAAGCACATACTGCCATCTGCGTTACAGACTGTAGAGTCTTTTGTGAATCCCCCCGCCCCCCCACGCAGCCTTTCAGACCCCACTGGAGTGACCTAATAACCCACAGCAACCCCCTCAGTGACCCCACCAAAACATTAACACAACAGAGCCTCAAATACCATAGGAAGAGGCCATTCAAACCCATCAATACACAATTAACACACTGATTAGCCTTTGCATCACAGCACAGAAAACAGAGCTTTACCTGTAATGAAGATTTATATCAACACTATCAGAATCAGGATGTTTTTATGTGACTCTGCTCACCAAAGCTGCATTTACTTCATAAAAAATACAATAATATTGTGAAATATTATTACAATTTCAAATAATTGTTTTCTATCATCATCATTCAGCATCATTACTCTTCAGTCTTCAGTGTCACATGATCCTTCAGAAATCTTTCTAATATGCTGATTTGCTGCTCGGGAAGCATTTTTATTATTATCAATGCTGAAAACAGTTGTGCTGCTTCATATTTTTGTAAAAACCTAAAGTTCATAACAACAGCATTTATTTGAAATATAAATATTTTGTACCACGATCCATACAAATGTCTTTATTGTCACTTTTGAAAATTTTAATGCATCTTTCCCAAAAAAATTATTCATTTATATAAAAAAGATCATACTGAGCCCCACCTTTTGAACAGTGTAAGTCTGCATAAAAATGTATCCAGTTGTTGTCTAACATACAAACAACTGCACAATTCACACCATAAAAGACCATATACTGTACATAAATAAGTATAATGTTTACTTCCTTAATAGACACATTATTGAAGAAAATGTCCTCATAAAAAAAAAAACATTACTATCTCAAAAAACAACCTTTTTCTAGTTATAATTTCTAAGCACTTTTTTTAATAAAATCAGTTTCCTAAAGGATAAATCCCGGCCCTACTTTTAAGATTCACTTATTAATACACCACATTCGAAAATAAAACAGATTGCGAACGATCTCGCATGGATGGCAAATGCAAGAAATAGGAAAACACCCAGAAAAGGCTACAGAAGGGCTTTACTGTTACATGCAAAACTTTACAGTACCACATCAAATATCAAATAAAAGCACATACTGCCATCTGCGTTACAGACTGTAGAGTCTTTTGTGAATCCCCCCGCCCCCCCACGCAGCCTTTCAGACCCCACTGGAGTGACCTAATAACCCACAGCAACCCCCTCAGTGACCCCACCAAAACATTAACACAACAGAGCCTCACATACCATAGGAAGAGGCCATTCAAACCCATCAATACACAATTAACACACTGATTAGCCTTTGCATCACAGCACAGAAAACAGAGCTTTACCTGTAATGAAGATTTATATCAACACTATCAGAATCAGGATGTTTTTATGTGACTCTGCTCACCAAAGCTGCATTTACTTCATAAAAAATACAATAATATTGTGAAATATTATTACAATTTCAAATAATTGTTTTCTATCATCATCATTCAGCATCATTACTCTTCAGTCTTCAGTGTCACATGATCCTTCAGAAATCTTTCTAATATGCTGATTTGCTGCTCGGGAAGCATTTTTATTATTATCAATGCTGAAAACAGTTGTGCTGCTTCATATTTTTGTAAAAACCTAAAGTTCATAACAACAGCATTTATTTGAAATATAAATATTTTGTACCACGATCCATACAAATGTCTTTATTGTCACTTTTGAAAATTTTAATGCATCTTTCCCAAAAAAATTATTCATTTATATAAAAAAGATCATACTGAGCCCCACCTTTTGAACAGTGTAAGTCTGCATAAAAATGTATCCAGTTGTTGTCTAACATACAAACAACTGCACAATTCACACCATAAAAGACCATATACTGTACATAAATAAGTATAATGTTTACTTCCTTAATAGACACATTATTGAAGAAAATGTCCTCATAAAAAAAAAAACATTACTATCTCAAAAAAAAACTTTTTTCTAGTTATAATTTCTAAGCACTTTTTTTAATAAAATCAGTTTCCTGAAGGATAAATCCCGGCCCTACTTTTAAGATTCACTTATTAATACACCACATTCAAAAATAAAACAGATTGCGAACGATCTGTCCTTCTTCCTTATGAATTAAAGTGAAAAATACTTATGATTTATGTTTGAATTACATAATCATTTCAAACTACATATGCTGCAACAATGATGCCATCCATTTTTCAAAACAGAAAATAAAGAGATTTTACATATGCATTATTCTACACATCAACATCAAGTGTTGTGCTTATCTTATGGAGGGTCATAGCGGTTAATAGGCGTGTTTAAGAGTGTGTGACACTCTCGGATATAACCAACAAAGTTGTTATAGAGATGACAGTCCCACATGGCGACCGAACACAAGAGACTGAAGTGTTGCCAGGATGAGTCTCTCTGCACAGCAGTAGTGTTTAAGTCACCATCAATACTTGTAAATACTCTTGGAAAAACATGCATCTAAACATGATTCGGCTAGCCTCATTCTTTAATGTGAAAGGACTAGGAACAGGCCACAACACAGCCCAAATTTGACAACAAATAAATACACACACACACAGCTCGTAAGGGGTTTTGTGGCATCTCTGTAGTAAAGCTCTGGCTGGTTTTGTCTGCTGACACACCCACACAGATCTGACAAAGGACCATCAGTGACGTCCCAGGACTCACATATTCAAACACGACCTGGGCGCTTATTCAAATACAGCTACTAGCAAGCACGCTACTCTGTGCAATGCGGTCAAAACTGGACAAAAAGTTCTGGAGCTCAACACGTATTAGGTTTCATAGATTACAGGCCGTTTTCATTTCCATTAAAATCCTCACAGTTTGGTAATTGTGTCAAATCAGTACTAAAGTATTCTGAAATATATGTTACCATATATTCAAACTATACCATGCCATTTACATCGGTCATTCTCAAATGGTGGGTTGCATCCAAAAATGAGTTACAAGTCTGTTCTGATCGGGTCACAGACATCAGGGATAAAACAAAGCGAAATGAATATAATACAATTCAATTATTTACCCATGCATATAGTCATAATAGCAAAATTTACTGTTTAAACAGAGGAGAAAAAGCTCTTTTGTATCTTTTGTTGTTGACGTCAAAGGTTGTGCATCCAAACAATCTTTACAGTACTACAAATTCACCTGTCACTAAGACTAATACTAATATTACATTTAGCAGAGTGTTTGTTTAGTGTGTTTGGCTGGTAAATCACTTCTGCTGTTGGTTATTACAAAATTGTCAATTTTCCTATTCATGTCTAGTATGTCATATTAATCATTTGCATACTGTTGGACCTGTGCATTTCATTTCATACATTTCAATGTTTAATTTAAGATTGTCAAATATGGCTTCAGAGGCAAAACCAGTTGGAAAAACATCATGCAAATTAAATTAGACTGTGACTAATATCTAAACCTTCTCAAATGTGACTACAGTAAATTATCGCACATCACAAGTGTGTGTCGGACAAAAACAGATTCTAATTCTTTAGTTTAGTAATTGTAATATCGAGGTATTTTGATAGAAACCATAATGGTGAATTGGTACTGCATGGTACTTCAAAGAATGCCATGGTATTAGCATAGTCATGGTATATATTTACAATAACAGCATGCTACTTTTTGAAAAATAATAATAAAACTAACTTCTCGGCCATTCACAGAGGTTCTTAGAGTGTATACACAAGACTTTTGCAGTGTTGATCGAATGCTAGAAGATTCTGAAAAGTTTGATTCTGCCCAGTTTCGCTCCCCTGGTTGACATGACGATGAAAAGTGCGAAAGAACGCTTTCATGTGGCGCGCTCTGCGCCAGACAAACCTGCTGGAACGGACCTAGCGCCTCGTGCATGTAGAGTTAAAATGATCTTAGGAAATGAAAACCACCGAGAAGCATTCGTCTGAATTAGGTGCTTACGGAATAAACTAAAGAATATGAAGCATCTGCTCCAAAAACATTGAATAACTGATGCAAGTTGGATGTAACACTGACCCTCATAGTGCATGCAGAACTAAATGTTTCTAGATTCTGTGCAATTATATGTGCATTTATATTAAACAAACAAATCACTGATATACAGAATAATAAAATGATCGAAAAAAAAACAACTCACTGTTTTTGAATCCAGCTCGTGTCTGTTTTGGGCCAAAACTTTATCCACACCGGTCTGGTCTACATAGGTGACAAATCCAAACCCCCTGCGCAAAAGCAGTGCATGCACAAACATTACGCGTAAGAATTAAGTTACAAACACACAAACAAACAAGTCAGCAGTAGATGTGCGCGCGCCTCCCCCTCACCTCGACCGCTTCGTAACCGGATCCCGCATCACCATACAATCCTTCACCTCGCCGAATTTACAAAAGTATTCATTCAGCCCTTCTGGAGAAAGAAAAGCACAATGCATTTATTTCATAACATCAGTTTAGTGACGCAAATCATGTTTGATGTACCTTAAACCAAACGTTTGCTGCTACTAGATCAGCATTGAGACTGCCCATCCACTTTGCATCTCAACAATAGTGCTCATTATAAAGCTCTGGTAAGCAATCTTATTATAATGTTCTAAGCTAAGCTGAGTATTTGAATAACAACACAGGCATGCAACCAGAGATTTTCCACACATGTATTCAACCACATCAGTGCCTCCGAGTCCTCACTAGCGCCCTTGCTTTCACCTCAAATCACCACGAGCTCACTCTCTCTCTCTATATATATATCGTCTGTAGCTTTCGTGGAAGTATTGAAAGAGACGTTTAATGATAAAACATGCCAAGTATCGATCTATAAATATTCACCTACGTAAAGAATATCTAACGCATTAGGCTCGCGCGTTGAATGCATGCATGATTTCACGGTGCACGAACTATTTGCTTTCTGTTTCAAACCAAACAAACATAGAAAGAAGAAATGCTCCTACGAGCTCATAGCAGCCCATGCATGAGACTTTTTGTGGAAGTAGCACGCAGGACAGAAGATCACGCGTGTCTCACCTTGTGTCGTCTGCCAGCTCAACCCGCCGATGAACATTTTGCTGAAAGGTGAAAAAGAAAGTCAGATCAGACACCTGAAAGTCTTCTGAAACGCTACCGATTACTGGTGCATGTGTAAATACAGTAATCAACACCCCAAAATCGTAATAAATCAAGTGGAAAAGTGAAATTCGGCCATGATGGATGGATGGGTGCCGTTATTTCCATTGAAAACGCAGAACTGATTCTTTCCTCTCCGTTAAAAAGTAACAAGTTCGATCATCCCCGTTTGAAAAAGCGAAATGGAATGTAATAATATAATGTGTTGGAAACAATATAACAGTTCCAAATGTAACAGATGGAAACAATGTAACAGCGCGCGTCCTGGTAAGAGGGAACATGGAAACAATGTAACAGTGAGGCTCCTGGCTGTTACATTGTTTCCATTTTCGCAAAGGAACCCGCGCTTGTGTCTTTTGTCTCCGGTGGTCTCTTTCCTCTTGGTCCCAGAATTCTCAGGTTTAAATGAACAGATTTATATATAGATATCCCGTTCGCGAGGAAAAGTCAAGCGGAGCGCGCAGGAAGGAAGCTTTACCAGGGGTCGTGCGGGGAGTCCTGCGTGGAGGAGGGCCCGTCTGGAGGAGGACGGGCCAAGCGTGGATTGCGCACACACGGAGACACCGCCTCCCGTTTGACTTTTCCCGGACTCTCGTAGTTTGCTCCGCCCCCTCTTTCTCCCCGGCCCCGCCCGCTTTCATGTGCTGTTGTACAGTAGCGGAGTCGAAACGTGGTCAGTCTGAAGAAAGAGAAAGACAGACAGACAGACAGACAGACAGATAGATAGACAGACAGACAGACAG